ATTTTTATTATTTTTTTTTATAAATTTATACTCCTTGTCCTTGATGTATCTTCCTCATTTAATATTCCTCTGATATATGTGGCAGTTCAGTGAGGGGTCGTACTGGACTGTAACAGTGTTAAGCTGGGGTATTGAGTGAAGAGAGAAAGAGAATTACAACAGGGATAGCGAACGATTACGATCAGGAGAGACGATCATAGAGGTCAGTGGGTTATTACAATGGATATGGGTTATTACACAAAAAGAGGACTAAACAAAAGCCAAGCTTGTTCTTCTACACATAGAAATTTATTAACAAATTATTTCAATTTCCATCAATTGATATTTAACACTTTGACATTCTATTATTTAATACAATATTGACCAAATTAAAAGGGGGGGGGGGAGGGGATCACCCACTCCATACACGCCCACACCATACATGGCTAAATGGTTCAGACTCCACCAGCTCGTCAACACTACTACACCCAATTAAGACAATGCATTACTGACACTCTTACCTCACTAACAAGTTCACCCAGGGGTGGGTGATGGCTAATTTACCCGCCCGGATGGAGGAGCTGGTTGGATGTACTCTCCCTTGCAAAGGTTCCACTCTCACTGCTCAACACACCTCGCTGGCCAAGCCAGGAGTGTGTATTCTCCCAAGCCTCTACAACGGGCTCTTTGTTATGTACTGCCATGTCAGCGGATTGAAGCTAGTCAACACATCACCTCATACCATCTCGCACCACCCCAACACGCACATACGCATACATACACACACCCACCCACAATTACAACTCACAATTATACATGAAAGAGTGCAAAATACTTGCACTCTTACACCCACACACCGTTCCTGTCTCACCCAGACACCGTTCCTGTCTCCCCCACACACCATTCCTGTCTCTCCCACACACCGTTTCTGTCTCCCCCACACACCGTTCCTGTCTCTCCCACACACCGTTTCTGTCTCCCCCACACACCGTTCCTGTCTCCCCCAGACACCGTTCTTGTCTCCGCCCATACACCGTTCCTGTCTCTTCCCCATCACACCGTTCCTGTCTCCCCTACACACCGTTCCTGTCTCCCGCAACACCGTTTTTGTCTCCCCCACATACACCGTTCCTGTCTCCCCCACACACCGTTCCTGTCTCTCCCACATACACCGTTCCTGTCTCTCCCACATACACCGTTCCTGTCTTTCCCCACCACACACCGTTCCTGTCTCCCACACACACACCGTTCCTGTCGTTCCCCACCACACACCCTTCCTGTCTCTCCCACCCACACAGTTCCTGTCTCCCCCACATACACCGTTCCTGTCTCCCTCCACACACACCGTTCCTGTCTCTCCCCCACAAACTTCCTGTTCCTGTCTCCCCCACACACACCGTTCCTGTCTCCCCCCCCCCACACACCGTTCCTGTCTCCCCCACACACCGTTCCTGTCTCTCCCACACACACCGTTCCTGTCTCTCCCACACACACCGTTCCTGTCTCTCCCACACACACCGTTCCTGTCTCCCCCACTACACCGTTCCTGTCTCTCCCCACACACCGTTCCTCTCTCCCCCCACACACCGTTCCTGTCTCCCCCCACACACCGTTCCTGTCTCCTCCACACACGGTTCCTGTCTCCCCCACATACACCGTTCCTGTCTCCTCCACACACGGTTCCTGTCTCTCTCACACACACTGTTCCTGTCTCCCCACACGGCGTTCCTGTCTCCCCCACACCGTTCCTGTCTCTCCCCACCATCGTTCCTCTCTCTCCCCACACACGGTTCCTGTCTCCCCACACCTGTCTCCACACACCGTTCCTGTCTCCCCACACACCGTTCCTGTCTCCCCCACACACCGTTCCTGTCTCCCCCCCCACACCGTTCCTGTCTCCCCCACACACCGCTCCTGTCTCCCCCCACCACACCGTTCCTATCTTCCCCCACCACACACCTTTCCTGTCTCTCCCCCACACACCGTTCGTGTCCCCCCACGCACCGTTTTTGTCTCTCCTACACACCGTTCCTGTCTCTCCCCCCACACACACCGTTCCTGTCCCCCCACACACACACCGTTCCTGCCTCTCATCCACACATCGTTCCTGTCTCCACCACACCGTTCCTGTCTCCCCCACACACCGTTCCTGTCTCCCCCACACCCCGTTCCTGTCTGCCCACACACCGATAGTGTCTCCTCCCCACACACCGTTCCTGTCTCCTCCCCACACACCGTTCCTGTCTCTCCCCCACACACCGTTCCTGTCTCTCCACACACACCGTTCCTGTCTCTCCCCACACACCGTTCCTGTCTCTCCCCCACACACACCGTTCCTGTCTCCCTCCACACACCCTTCCTGTCTCTCCCCACACACCACACCGTTCCTGTCTCCCTCACACACACCGTTCCTGTCTCTTCCCCCACACACCGTTTCTGTCTCCCCCCACACCGTTCCTGTCTCCCCCCACACACCGTTCCTGTCTCCCCCCAACACACACCGTTCCTGTCTCTCCCCACACACCGTTCCTGTCTCCTCCCACACACCGTTCCTGTCTCCCCCACACACCGTTCCTCTCTCCCTCCCCCCCACACACGGTTCGTTTCGGGGCAGTATGCCGGATGTTGTCTTGGTCTCGACGATGGTAGAATAGTTACTGTGTTCGCTGGTTGTTATTGGCTGACCGAGTATATTTGAAGTAAATCAAACTTTACTCGGTTTGAAAATCCGAGTAGAATGAGTGAAATGAATATCATTCAGCTGTGTTTGACTACCAGTTTGGGCACTGTTGTTGCAGTCAGCGGTCATCATTCACCCGTCAAGAGTCAGCTGACCTTGACTACCTGTGTGGACACTGTTGTTACAGTCAGCCGTCAAGAGTCAGCTGACCTTGACTACCTGTGTGGACACTGTTGTTACAGTCAGCCGTCAAGAGTCAGCTGACCATGACTACCTGTGTGGACACAGAATGGCTGTAGGTGTGAGCCAGACCTGTGCTTCAGGGTTGTCGGGTACTCCTCTCTCGCGAAGACTGCCGCTTCTCTAACCCTCAGATTTGAGTCATCTCACGGACCTCAGTTCGCTCAAAGACTGTAACTGTCTGAGCAGTGAGTCCTGAGTGTTGACCAATCACGAAGCAGACTAGGTGACCCGGCACGTTCCGGGTCTCCTTCCATTGGTCCTCTTAGTTACGTGTTTCGAATGTATCATGACTTCCCCCTGACATCATGGCTGTGCCAAGCGCTATCATATCTATCGGAACATCTCAGAGATATCAAAAACTATAAGATTAAAGATTCTCTACTTAAATTTATACAGAGGAATTTAAACGTTGTCTCTCTGGCAATCCTACACATTAGTAAAGAGCAGATAAGATTCTCAGAAAGGTAGCGGTGCTGTGGAGGGCAGCAGTTACCATAGTAGTACCTGCCATGGTACCAGGGACAAGGTGTAAAGCAGTACTGCAGGTACCATAGCAGTATGCAGGGGACGACAAGGTGTCAAGCAGTACTGTAGGTACCATAGCAGTATGCAGGGGACGACAAGGTGTCAAGCAGTACTGCAGGTACCATAGCTGTATGCAGGGGACGACAAGGTGTCAAGCAGTACTGCAGGTACCATAGCAGTATGCAGGGGACGGCAAGGTGTCAAGCAGTACTGCAGGTACCATGGCTGTATGCAGGGGACATCAGGGACAAGGGAACTTGACTGAATTTCAGTAATCACATTGTTGTTGTCACCAGCAATGATACAAGATTGTTTTGTCTAAGTCCAGTCCGAACTTATATCAACACAAGATTGTTACTGTCTAAGATTTTCTCTCCTGAGAATATATGAGTCATGTCTGAACCAATCCCATCAGCGTAATATTGGACTACCAATTACATCTTCTCACAAACGAATTCACCTTAAAATACTCTAAATATTTTATTTAAATAGTAAAGTGTTTTATTAAATAGTAAAAATTTTAAAGTTTCAGAAAATGCCTTAAGTTTGATAGAGATTACAAAGTAATAAATATTAATTCTAGCATTTCATGAAAATGTTAATGAAATGTCTAAATAAATGTTTACGAATATAGCATTTAGGAAATTTAATTTGATAAATAAAACACTCAATTCGTATAATTGATGCTAAGAAAATCCTTTATAAAACTTGCAATAAATTGTTTGTGGGACAAACTGACAAACATTTCCATGGGAGAATAAAAGAACATAAATACCACATCACGACAGGTCAAGAGTCCTGTATAATGTTGGTTGATTAAAGAGAGTTTTAAATTAACTTCAAATATTTATAGTTTTCAATATTATTTTGAGAAAGGTGGGATTAAACAGGTGTTGATGAGACAATATGTGCGTCATGAGGACACACTGACCGTTGTGGCAGATGTTTAGTAGTTGGTATGAACGACGGAGGTTGAGAGTAAACTATAGGGCGAACACAGTTTAGTTTAAATTGGCAGGATATGGAAAAGTAACCATCTTGAGATGATTTCGGGGCTTTTTAGTGTCCCCGCGGCCCGGTCCTCGACCAGGCCTCCACCCCCAGGAAGCAGCCCGTGACAGCTGACTAACACCCAGGTACCTATTTTACTGCTAGGTAACAGGGGCATAGGGTGAAAGAAACTCTGCCCATTGTTTCTCGCCGGCGCCTGGGATCGAACCCAGGACCACAGGATCACAAGTCCCGCGTCCTGTCCGCTCGGCCGACCGACTCCTGTTATTCGACCATTTTTATTCTTCACAGATATTTTCCCGGTTTATAAGTCAATACTGGAGTCCCTTTCCTAGTACCAAGATTACACTTGTCTCTACATCTGACTAGAATTATTTTTTATATATGATAATTAATGATTGGCATTAATTAATGCCAATAAATAATTATTGCTTGGCATTAGGCATGCTTGTATTAATTTATTTGAATTGATACACAACCTACACAAATTTGCTTCCGTTTGAGTTGGTGTTCATTATGGTGGAGATAGGCAAGAACTAACAGCTCGCCGTGCCCCCCACAGAGGCTACGTGGTCACCACGCCCAAGCAGTGGGTCGCAGGAACAACAGCCCAGCTGTGTGTGGTCGTGGACGACCCGTCAGCTCCAGCTGGGAAACTGACGGTAGCAGTCACCGCCTACGACCACCAGCAGCTGCCTGAGGAGCGGAACATTACCATCATTCCCCAGACCACTCTATACATTCCAGCAGGTTAGTACACCACGAGGAAAGTGGAAATAATCACCCAAGTCACATTTTTAAGTTGACAAACAAGACCTCGTGACGGGGCGTCTAGTGGCCACTCTTGGTTCCACAAATCGACACCCTGTTGTTGATTAAATGTTATATACGCATTATTCCCATATCAAGAATACAAAGTTTAAACACATAATAAATATATATATATATATATATATATATATATATATATATATATATATATATATATATATATATATATATATATATATATATATATATATATATGTATACTTATATATACTTCTTAAGGTGAACATACGTCTTAAGGTGTGCACCAACGTTTGGCAACCCACTTCTAAATCAATATGATGAGCTCCTCAGGTCAATATTCAGGAAGGCGCTCAACCTAGATTTAGATGACAGTCAGTAGGACCAAGCAACACTACCAGTGAGATTTGGAGGGATAGGCATACGAAAGGCAACTGAGGTAGCACTTCCAGCATTCTTATCCTCATGTACAGCAGCCAACGAATTGGTAGGGCAGATCTTACCAGAGCGTATGAGAGAGACAGCGGGAACTCATGATCAAACGTTCATCGAAGCAGCCAGACAATGGGACACCATTGCACACCCTCAACCCCGACCACAAGTCCCAAAAGACCACAAGCAGGCCCACTGGGATAGCCCCATAATGGAAAAGACTGTCACAGCAATGATTGACAACGCTGATGCTGAAAACAAAGCCCGCCTCCTAGCGGTAACAGCACCCCACGCCGGGGATTTCTTATTTGCTGTGCCCAGTGCAGCCCTGGGAACTCGCCTCTGTCATGACGCTCTCCGCATTGGAGTTGCCCTTCGCCTTGCCGCCCCCATCCTCACCGAACATAGGTGCATCTGCGGAACTGCGATGGCAGACCAATATGGTCGTCATGGTCTGGTATGTCGTAAATCACAGGGTAAAATTGCAAGACATGAAGAAGTCAACGACATCATCAAGAGGAGCCTCGCCACAGCCCGCTGCCTGGCACAAAGAGAACCACACTTATCCAGACCTAACGACCCTCAGAAGCGCCCTGATGGGGTCACCTTGCTACCTTGGAAGGATGGTAAGCAAGTGGTATGGGACTACACGTGCGCTGCCACACTGGCCAGTACCTACCTCCACTACAGCACACGTGAAAGCGGTGGTGCTGCTTCTTTCAGGGAATCGCAGAAAATTATTAAATACAGAGGTCTAGCACACTGCTACAGCTTTGTTCCGATCGGCTCGGAGACCCTCGGTTCGTGGGGAAAATGTGCATTGAAGTTCCTGAAGGAATTGGGGGACAAATTGATCAGCGCTACAAAAGACCAGAGAGCAAAAAGTTTCTTGTTCCAGCGCCTCAGTGTTGCGATTCAGAGGGGAAATGCCTGTTGCGTCTTGGGCACTAGTCCAACTTCAGAGGAATTCGAAGTGTTTGACTTGCAACAATGATCGAACCCGTCTGTGACATTCATCAATGTTTCCCATTGTTGTGTTTTTCAAGAGATCCATAACCTTTAAGCACCTTTTTGCATTATTATTTTTGTATTAACCCATGTATATCTTGTAACCATCAAATGCATAATAAAGCACAAAAAATAAAAAAGGAAGGGGGTGGTAGGAGAAAAGCACAGAGAAACTGTATTGGAGGGGATCTAAACATTCCCTCTAATGCGTTATGCTTGGTTTCCTCCGAGGCTATGGGTCCCCCTTCTTCCAGCTAGAGGTGGTACTCCCTTCCCTATGTATATATCTATCTATCTATATATATATATATATATATATATATATATATATATATATATATATATATATATATATATATATATATATATATATATATATATATATATATATATATATATATATATATATATATATATATATATATATATATTTTATTAAATATGACCGAAAAAGTAAGATTAATAATTCTAACACGAATTTTCTCAATCTTTCGTACATTACGCTTCACTGTTGGAGGTAAATCAAAAATCACTTCTCCAAAATTCATTTTTATTTCTAGTCTGACGCGACACGGGCGCGTTTCGTAAAACTTATTACATTTTCAAAGACTTCACAAATACACAACTGATTAGAACTTACGTCTCTCTGATATTATATCTACATTTGAGTGAGGTGGGAAGGGTGATGTGGCATTGTTAACACAAGACAGAACAGGAGGGGATATTAATAGGGTATTAAAAGTATCAACACAAGACAGAACAGAAACAATGGGTATTGAATAGAAGTGTTTGTAGAAAGCCTATTGGTCCATATTTCTTGATGCTTCTATATTGGAGCGGAGTCTTGAGGTGGGTAGAATATAGTTGTGCAATAATTGGCTGTTGATTGCTGGTGTTGACTTCTTGATGTGTAGTGCCTCGCAAACGTCAAGCCGCCTGCTATCGCTGTATCTATCGATGATTTCTGTGCTGTTTACTAGGATTTCTCTGGCGATGGTTTGGTTATGGGAAGAGATTATATGTTCCTTAATGGAGCCCTGTTGCTTATGCATCGTTAAACGCCTAGAAAGAGATGTTGTTGTCTTGCCTATATACTGGGTTTTTTGGAGCTTACAGTCCCCAAGTGGGCATTTGAAGGCATAGACGACGTTAGTCTCTTTTAAAGCGTTCTGTTTTGTGTCTGGAGAGTTTCTCATGAGTAGGCTGGCCGTTTTTCTGGTTTTATAGTAAATCGTCAGTTGTATCCTCTGATTTTTGTCTGTAGGGATAACGTTTCTATTAACAATATCTTTCAGGACCCTTTCCTCCGTTTTATGAGCTGTGGAAAAGAAGTTCCTGTAAAATAGTCTAATAGGGGGGTATAGGTGTTGTGTTAGTTGTCTCTTCAGAGGTTGCATGGCTTTTCACTTTCCTTCTTATGATGTCTTCGATGAAACCATTGGAGAAGCCGTTATTGCCTAGGACCTGCCTTACCCTACAGAGTTCTTCGTCGATTTGCTTCCATTCTGAGCTGTAGCTGAGAGCACGGTCGACGTATGCGTTAACAACACTCCTCTTGTACCTGTCGGGGCAGTCGCTGTTGGCATTTAGGCACATTCCTATGTTTGTTTCCTTAGTGTAGACTGCAGTGTGGAAACCTCCGCCCTTTTCCATGACTGTTACATCTAGAAAAGGCAGCTTCCCATCCTTTTCCGTCTCGTAAGTGAAACGCAGCACGGAACTCTGCTCAAATGCCTCCTTCAGCTCCTGCAGATGTCTGACATCAGGTACCTGTGTAAAAATGTCGTCAACATACCTGCAGTATATGGCCGGTTTCAAGTTCATGTCGACTAAGACTTTTTGCTCGATGGTACCCATGTAGAAGTTTGCAAACAGGACACCTAGGGGAGAACCCATGTTCTGCTTACAAGCAGAACTTATTGCAGAAGGAGGAAAGAATCGAGGCAATTACAGAAGCACCATACTGTCCCCCGAGCTTAAAGCGGCAGCTAAAAGCCTTCGTGACAACAAGGAGATAGTTGTCAGGAGAGGTGACAAGTCGCCAATATATGTCATTCTTAAAAAAGACGAATATCTGGCGAAAATGAACATCATACTCTCTGACCAAACTAAGTTCCAAAGGGTAACGAAGGACACTACAGCCGAATTAAAAGCAAAGGTCAACAAACTGATCGAAACTGTGAACGCCAAGAAATCCGGACTCCACCTGCCAAAGATCATTGGGGAATATAAACCTGGATATGCGTATGGAAATGTCAAGACGCACAAGCCTGGAAACCCACTTCGGCCAATCATTAGCCAGATACCCACACCCACGTACAGACTGGCGAAGCGACTCAACGGCCTGCTGACTCCTTATGTTCCTTGCGCCTTCAGCCTGAAGTCTCCAAAGGAATTTGTGGACTTACTGCGGGGCACACGGGCCACAGGGATAAGAGCCTCGTTGGACGTAGAATCGCTGTTTACCAACGTACCTGTGGACGAGACAATCGGAATGATAGCCGACAGAGTGTATCGTGATCCAGCCTGTACTCCTCTTGACATGCCAGAAAGTATTCTGAGGAAACTACTCCAAGCTTGTACTAAAGAGGCACCCTTCTTGAGCCCGGATGGGCACATGTATAAGCAAGTAGATGGGGTCGCCATGGGTTCTCCCCTAGGTGTCCTGTTTGCAAACTTCTACATGGGTACCATCGAGCAAAAAGTCTTAGTCGACATGAACTTGAAACCGGCCATATACTGCAGGTATGTTGACGACATTTTTACACAGGTACCTGATATCAGACATCTGCAGGAGCTGAAGAAGGCATTTGAGCAGAGTTCCGTGCTGCGTTTCACTTACGAGACGGAAAAGGATGGGAAGCTGCCTTTTCTAGATGTAACAGTCATGGAAAAGGGCGGAGGTTTCCACACTGCAGTCTACACTAAGGAAACAAACATAGGAATGTGCCTAAATGCCAACAGCGACTGCCCCGACAGGTACAAGAGGAGTGTTGTTAACGCATACGTCGACCGCGCTCTCAGCCACAGCTCAGAATTGAAGCAAGTCGACGAAGAACTCTGTAGGGTAAGGCAGGTCCTAGTCAATAACGGCTTCTCCAATGGTTTCATCGAAGACATCATAAGAAGGAAAGTGAAAAGCCATGCAACCTCTGAAGAGACAACTAACACAACACCTATACCCCCTATTAGACTATTTTACAGGAACTTCTTTTCCACAGCTCATATAACGGAGGAAAGGGTCCTGAAAGATATTGTTAATAGAAACGTTATCCCTACAGACAAAAATCAGAGGATACAACTGACGATTTACTATAAAACCAGAAAAACGGCCAGCCTACTCATGAGAAACTCTCCAGACACAAAACAGAACGCTTTAAAAGAGACTAACGTCGTCTATGCCTTCAAATGCCCACTTGGGGACTGTAAGCTCCAAAAAACCCAGTATATAGGCAAGACAACAACATCTCTTTCTAGGCGTTTAACGATGCATAAGCAACAGGGCTCCATTAAGGAACATATAATCTCTTCCCATAACCAAACCATCGCCAGAGAAATCCTAGTAAACAACACAGAAATCATCGATAGATACAGCGATAGCAGGCGGCTTGACGTTTGCGAGGCACTACACATCAAGAAGTCAACACCAGCAATCAACAGCCAATTATTGCACAACTATATTCTACCCACCTCAAGACTCCGCTCCAATATAGAAGCATCAAGAAATATGGACCAATAGGCTTTCTACAAACACTTCTATTCAATACCCATTGTTTCTGTTCTGTCTTGTGTTGATACTTTTAATACCCTATTAATATCCCCTCCTGTTCTGTCTTGTGTTAACAATGCCACATCACCCTTCCCACCTCACTCAAATGTAGATATAATATCAGAGAGACGTAAGTTCTAATCAGTTGTGTATTTGTGAAGTCTTTGAAAATGTAATAAGTTTTACGAAACGCGCCCGTGTCGCGTCAGACTAGAAATAAAAATGAATTTTGGAGAAGTGATTTTTGATTTACCTCCAACAGTGAAGCGTAATGTACGAAAGATTGAGAAAATTCGTGTTAGAATTATTAATCTTACTTTTTCGGTCATATTTAATAATATATGTCTACAGGAAAGACTGCTACCAAAATATACTAATATATATATTTATATATATATCTCCTGTATGGAGAGCTGAGGCAGGGAAAGCGTCCAGCAGGCAAGCCCCAGCTACGGTACAAAGACGTATGCAAAAGGGACCTGAAAGCCATGGACGTCGATCTTGCTATATGGGAGACACTGGCTGCAGACCGTTCAGCCTGGAGGCAGTCTGTTCAACGAGGTCTCTCCAAGTTCGAGGAGTCACTTGCCAAGGAATCGGAGGCAAAGAGACAGAGAAGGAAAGCCGGTAACCAGGAAGACAGACCAGAATCGGACTTCGTTTGTGCTCGGTGTGGGAAGGACTGCCACTCTCGGATTGGCCTCATCAGTCACACCAGACGCTGCACCAGGATTGACAACTAGGGCGCAACTCCATAGTCTCTATATATATATATATATATATATATATATATATATATATATATATATATATATATATATATATATATATATATATATATATATATATATATATATATATATATATATATATATATATATGTTATATATATATATGTTATATATATATATGTTATATATATATATATATATATATATATATATATATATATATATATATATATATATATATATATATATATATATATATATATATAACTCACCGGGTCAGTAGAGACGCTGAGGTAACTCACCGGGTCAGTAGAGACGTTGAGGTAACTCACCGGGTCAGTAGAGACGCTGAGGTAACTCACCGGGTCAGTAGAGACGCTGAGGTAAGGTCCGGTGAGAGTGAGGATCCTGAACTTGACATTCTGGCTGGGCTCGTACAGGTACTTGTCCGTCTGTACTTGTCTGTACAGGTACTTGTCTTATATATATATATATATATATATATATATATATATATATATATATATATATATATATATATATATATATATATATATATATATATATATATATATATATATATATATATATATATATATATATATATATATATATATATATATATATATATATATATATATATATATATATATATATATATATATATATATATATATATATATATATATATATAACAACTAGAGTTACTGTTCCGTGTTCCAGGAAAGACAGGTTCGTGCTACGACGTGTCGGTGCCGAGTTCCTCGGTGTACACCCACTCACTTCACGTGGCGGGCGTGGTGGGCGGCGCCAAGCTCACCCGCACCGTTTCCCTCGCCCTCAGGAGCACCAGCGACATCACCTTCGTCCAGACGGACAAGTACCTGTACGAGCCCAGCCAGAATGTCAAGTTCAGGATCCTCACTCTCACCGGACCTTACCTCAGCGTCTCTACTGACCCGGTGAGTTACCTCAGCGTCTCTACTGACCCGGTGAGTTACCTCAACGTCTCTACTGACCCGGTGAGTTACCTCAGCGTCTCTACTGACCCGGTGAGTTACCTCAGCGTCTCTACTGACCCGGTGAGTTACCTCAACCTCTCTACCTGACCCGGTGAGCTACCTCAGCGTCTCTACTGACCCGGTGAGTTACCTCAGCGTCTCTACTGACCCGGTGAGTTACCTCAGCGTCTCTACTGACCCGGTGAGTTACCTCAGCGTCTCTGCTGACCCGGTGAGTTACCTCAGCGTCTCTACTGACCCGGTGAGTTACCTCAGCGTCTCTACTAACCCGGTGAGTTACCTCAGCGTCTCTGCTGACCCGGTGAGTTACCTCAATCTCTATACTGACCCGTTGAGTTACCTCAGCATCTCTACTGACCCGGCGAGTTACCTCAATCTCTATACTGACCCGTTGAGTTACCTCAGCATCTCTACTGAACCGGTGAGTTACCTCAGCGTCTCTACTGACCCGGTGAGTTACCTCAGCGTCTCTGCTGACCCGGTGAGTTACCTCAGCGTCTCTACTGACCCGGTGAATTACCTCAGCGTCTCTACTAACCCGGTGAGTTACCTCAGCGTCTCTGCTGACCCGGTGAGTTACCTCAGCGTCTCTACTGACCCGGTGAGTTACCTCAGCGTCTCTACTGACCCGTTGAGTTACCTCAGCGTCTCTACTGACCCGGTAAGTTACCTCAGCGTCTCTACTAACCCGGTGAGTTACCTCAGCGTCTGTACTAACCCGGTGAGTTACCTCAGCGTCTCTACTAACCCGGTGAGTTACCTCAGCGGCTCTACTGAACCGGTGAGTTACCTCAGCGTCTCTACTGACCCGGTGAGTTACCTCAGCGTCTCTGCTGACCCGGTGAGTTACCTCAGCGTCTCTACTGACCCGGTGAATTACCTCAGCGTCTCTACTAACCCGGTGAGTTACCTCAGCGTCTCTGCTGACCCGGTGAGTTACCTCAGCGTCTCTGCTGACCCGTTGAGTTACCTCAGCGTCTCTACTGACCCGGTAAGTTACCTCAGCGTCTCTACTGACCCGTTGAGTTACCTCAGCGTCTCTACTGACCCGGTAAGTTACCTCAGCGTCTCTACTGACCCGGTGAGTTACCTCAGCGTCTCTACTAACCCGGTGAGTTACCTCAGCGGCTCTACTGAACCGGTGAGTTACCTCAGCGTCTCTACTGACCCGGTGAGTTACCTCAACCTCTCTACTGACCTGGGGAGTTACCTCAACGTCTCTACTGACCCGGTGAGTTACCACTACGTCTCTACTGACCCAGTGAGTTACCTCAATCTCTATACTGACCCGGTGAGTTACCTCAGCGTCTCTGCTGACCCGATGAGTTACCTCAGCGTCTCTACTGACCCGGTGAGTTACCTCAGCGTCTCTACTAACCCGGTGAGTTACCTCAGCGCGTCTACTAACCCGGTGAGTTCCCTCAGCGGCTCTACTGAACCGGTGAGTTACCTCAGCGTCTCTACTGACCCGGGGAGTTACCACTACGTCTCTACTGACCCAGTGAGTTTCCTCAACGTCTCTACTGAGCCGGTGAGTTACCTCAACGACTCTACTGACCCGGTGAGTTACCTCAACGTCTCTACTGACCAGTTCCGTGGGATCCATTTCTTACAAGCTTTCTAAATGGCTCACCAAAATCTTGTCCCCATTGTTAGGAACTATTTCCTCTTCTCATTTGAATAATTCTCTTGAATTAGTTAACAAATTTAATAGTATTCCTGTCACTCCTGATATAAAGTTAATCAGTTTTGACGTTTGTTCTTTGTTTACAAAGGTACCGGTTGATGATATTCTTGATTATCATGCTCGTGAACTAATGAATCATATTTTACCTCTTTCTGCTGATATTATTGTCAATCTTGTTAAGTTGTGCATTAAAGAATGTACATTTACCTTTAATAATGAGAATTATTTACAGACTTTTGGAATGGCAATGGGGAATCCTTTATCGCCATTGCTTTCAAACTTGTACATGGAATTCTTCGAAAGGAAATTTGTCTCAAAAATTACCCCTGGAATCATTCCATGGTTTAGATATGTTGATGATATTTTGTGTATATGGCCTACAGATGTAAACACTGACGAATTTGTAGCCAAACTTTAATGATCAAGTCACCGCTATAAAATTTACTGTGGAGACTGAAATTGATAAATGTTATGTTTACCATATTTCTCTGTGTTTGAGAATATTGTCAAGGCCTTGACACTTTTTGATATACATGTATTGTTTAGCTACGAAAATACTGTTGGTAAGCTATTAGTTAGAAACAGCCCTCGTAGTGATAATTGTGTCATATATAAAATACATTGTAAAGACTGTAATAAATTCTATGTTGGGCAAACATCTAAAAATTTGAAATGTAGAATTTCGCAATATAAATACTCTGTAAGACACGGCCAATTGTCTAATGCTTTGTTTGTTCATCTGTCAGAAGATGCTCACCAAATTGATTGGGAGATAGCTTCTTCAATAATGAATTGTAAAAACACTTATAACAGGAGCATAATTGAATCTGCTTTGCCACAGATTACAAAAGAAAGTAATTTGAACGTTAGCAGTGGTTTATATAACTTGGATCCATTTTTGATAGATCAATTAGAGGGCGATTTGAGTAGGATCATTGATACACATTTGTCTCACTAATTCATTGTAAATATTTACTATCTTATGCTATTATTATCCATGTGTGGGCCTATTGGTGGGTATGAATAGGAGATGCCTCGTATGGGCAAATAGGCCTTCTGCAGTTCTTATGCGGCTCATATTTGTGTCCACCTAATTCCCATTCATTTGTCATTGTACCTCACCTCACTCCACCATTCTCTCCTGCCTATATATGTAAAATTCTTGACCTGTAAATCACTCCTTCTGAAGATCTATTAATACGAAAGTACTTAAGGAAATTCCTGTTTCAATTCTTCTTCCGTGGTCTGGAGAGAGAGAGAGAGAGAGAGATATCTCAATCCATTTTAACCAGTATCTCTCATAATTTTATTTAGTGAGTGAAGGGCTAAATGTTTGACCACTGCATGAGGCCTGACAAGTAATGTGTTGGTGTCCCCGGCAGTACCCGGAGGTCTGGGTGCAGACGCCGGCCGGCACCCGCGTCGCCCAGTGGAAGAACGTCGACAACACCGCCGGCCTCGTCCACCTCGACTTCGACCTCGCTGACGAGCCCGAGAAGGTGAGACACACTTGTGGTAATAGAAGATAGGAACACGAGACGAAAATACAACACACAATGAAGTAATATAGTTTTGGTGAGTATGTTTACAAAATGAGAAAAATACTATTGTAATAAACCTCGCTTCTCACAGTGGAACGTTATTGTGGTCTGGTTAAGTAGGACTGGGCTCATTGGTGCTCACTTGACGTGGTGAGGGGCTCTGGTGCACAGTCCTGGGGGCTCTGGTGCACCGTCCTGGGGGCTCTGGTGCACAGTCCTGGGGGCTCTGGTGCACAGTCCTGGGGGCTCTGGTGCACAGTCCTGGGGGCTCTGGTGCACAGTCCTGGGGGCTCTGGTGCACAGTCCGGGGGGCTCTGGTGCACAGTCCTGGGGGCTCTGGTGCTCAGTCCTGGGGGCTCTGGTGCACAGTCCTGGGGGCTCTGGTGCTCAGTCCTGGGGGCTCTGGTGCACAGTCCTGGGGGCTCTGGTGCACAGTCCTGGGGGCTCTGGTGCTCAGCCCTGGGGGCTCTGGTGCACAGGCATGGGAGCTCTAGTGCACAGTACTGGGGGCTCTGGTGCACAGTCCTGGGGGCTCTGGTGCTCAGTCCTGGGGGCTCTGGTGCACAGTCCTAGGGGCTCTGGTGCTCAGTCCTGGGGGCTCTGGTGCACAGTCCTGCATGGGGGCTCTGGTGCACAGTCCTGGGGGCTCTGGTCCTCAGTCCTGGGGGCTCTGGTGCACAGTCCTGGGAGCTCTGGGGCACAGTTCAGGGGGCTCTGGTGCACAGTCCTGGGGGCTCTGGTGCACAGTCCTGGGGGCTCTGGTGCACAGTCCTGGGGGCTCTGGTGCACAGTCCTGGGGGCTTTGGTGCGCAGTCCTGGGGGCTCTGGTGCACCGTCCTGGGGGCTCTGGTGCACCGTCCTGGGGGCTCTGGTGCACAGTCCTGGGGGCTCTGGTGCACAGTCCTGGCGGCTCTGGTGCACAGTCCTGGGGGCTCTGGTGCACAGTCCTGGGGGCTCTGGTGCACAGTCCTGGGGGCTCTGGTGCACAGTCCGGGGGGCTCTGGTGCACAGTCCTGGGGGCTCTGGTACACAGTCCTGGGAGCTCTGGTGCACAGTCCTGGGGGCTCTGGTGCACAGTCCTGGGGGCTCTGGTGCACTGTCCTGGGGGCTCTGGTGCACAGTCCTGGGGGCTCTGGTGCACAGTCCTGGGGGCTCTGGTGCACCGTCCTGGGGGCTCTGGTGAGGGGCTCTGGTACACTATCCTGGGGGCTCTGGTGCACAGTCCTGGGGGCTCTGGTACACAGTCCTGGGGGCTCTGGTTCACCGTCCTGGGGGCTCTGGTACACTGTCCTGGGGGCTCTGGTGCACAGTCCTGGGGGCTCTTGGTGTCCTGGGGGCTCTGTACACCGTCCTGGGGGCTCTGGTACACCGTCCTGGGGGCTCTGGTACACTGTCCTGGGGGCTCTGGTACACCGTCCTGGGGGCTCTGGTTCACCGTCCTGGGGGCTCTGGTACACCGTCCAGGGGGCTCTGGTACACCGTCCTGGGGGCTCTGGTACACCGTCCTGGGGGCTCTGGTGCACCGTCCTGGGGGCTCTGGTACACCGTCCTGGGGGCTCTGGTGAACCGTCCTGGGGGCTCTGGTACACCATACTGGGGGCTCTGGTGCACCGTCCTGGGGGCTCTGGTGCACCGTCCTGGGAGCTCTGGTGAGGGGCTCTGGCGCACCGTCCTAGGGGCTCTGGCGCACCGTCCTGGGGGCTCTGGTGCACCGTGCTGGGGGCTCTGGTGCACCGTCCTGGGGGCTCTGGTGCACAGTCCTGGGGGCTCTAGTGCACAGTCCTGGGGGCTCTGGTGCACCGTCCTGGGGGCTCTGGTGCACCGTCCTGGGGGCTCTGGTACACCGTCCTGGGGGCTCTGGTGCACCGTCCTGGGGCTCTGGTGCACCGTCTTGGGGGCTCTGGTACACCGTCCTGGGGGCTCTGGCGCACCGTCCTGGGGGCTCTGGTGCACCGTCCTGGGGGCTCTGGTACACCGTCCTGGGGGCTCTGGTACACCGTCCTGGGGGCTCTGGTGCAGGCCGTCCTTGGGGCTCTGGTACACCGTCCAGGGGGCTCTGGTGCACCGTCCTGGGGGCTCTGGTGCACCGTCCTGGGGGCTCTGGTACACCGTCCAGGGGGTTCTGGTGCACCGTCCTGGGGGCTCTGGTGCACCGTCCTGGGGGCTCTGGTGCACCGTCCTGGGGGCTCTGGTACACCGTCCTGGGGGCTCTGGTGCACCGTCCTGGGGGCTCTGGTCCACCGTCCTGGGGGCTCTGGTACACCGTCCTGGGGGCTCTGGTACACCGTCCTGGGGGCTCTGGTGCACCTTCCTGGGGGCTCTGGCGCACCGTCCTGGGGGCTCTGGTACACCGTCCTGGGGGCTCTGGTGCACCGTCCTGGGGGCTCTGGTACACTGTCCAGGGGGCTCTGGTGCACCGTCCTGGGGGATCTGGTATACCGTCCTGGGGGCTCTGGTACACCGTCCTGGGGGCTCTGGTGCACCGTCCTGGGGGCTCTGGTGCACCGTCCTGGGGGCTCTGGTACACCGTCCTGGGGGCTCTGGTACACCGTCCTGGGGGCTCTGGTGCAGCGTCCTGGGGGCTCTGGTACACCGTCCAGGGGGCTCTAGTACACCGTCCTGGGGGCTCTGGTACACCGTCCTGGGGGCTCTGGTACACCGTCCTGGGGGCTCTGGTGCACCGTCCTGGGGGCTCTGGTACACCGTCCTGGGGGCTCTGGTGCACCGTCCTGGGGGCTCTGGTGAGGGGCTCTGGTACACCGTCCTGGGGGCTCTGGTGCACCGTCCTGGGGGCTCTGGTGCACCGTCCTAGGGGCTCTGGTGCACCGTCCAGGGGGCTCTGGTGCACAGTCCTCTCTGGTGCACAGTCCTGGGGCTCTGGTGCTCCTGGTCTGCACAGTCCTGGGGGCTCTGGTGCACAGTCCTGGGGGCTCTGGTGCACAGTCCTGGGGGCTCTGGTGCACAGTCCTGGGGGCTCTGGTGCACAGTCCTGGGGGCTCTGGTGCTCAGTCCTGGGGGCTCTGGTGCACAGGCCTGGGTGCTCTGGTGCACAGTCCTGGGGGCTCTGGTGCACAGTCCTGGGGGCTCTGGTGCACAGTCCTGGGGGCTCTGGTGCTCAGTCCTGGGGCTCTGGTGCACAGTCCTAGGGGCTCTGGTGCTCAGTCCTGGGGGCTCTGGTGCACCGTCCTGCATGGGGGCTCTGGTGCACAGTCCTGGGGGCTCTGGTCCTCAGTCCTGGGGGCTCTGGTGCACAGTCCTGGGAGCTCTGGGGCACAGTTCAGGGGGCTCTGGTGCACAGTCCTGGGGGCTCTGGTGCACAGTCCTGGGGGCTCTGGTGCACAGTCCTGGGGGCTCTGGTGCACAGTCCTGGGGGCTCTGGTGCACAGTCCTGGGGGCTCTGGTGCACCGTCCTGGGGGCTCTGGTGCACCGTCCTGGGGGCTCTGGTGCACAGTCCTGGCGGCTCTGGTGCACAGTCCTGGGGGCTCTGGTGCACAGTCCTGGGGGCTCTGGTGCACAGTCCTGGGGGCTCTGGTGCACAGTCCTGGGGGCTCTGTTGCACAGTCCGGGGGGCTCTGGTGCACAGTCCTGGGGGCTCTGGTACACAGTCCTGGGAGCTCTGGTGCACAGTCCTGGGGCCTCTGGTGCACAGTCCTGGGGGCTCTGGTGCACTGTCCTGGGGGCTCTGGTGCACAGTCCTGGGGGCTCTGGTGCACCGTCCTGTGGGCTCTGGTGCACCGTCCTGGGGGCTCTGGTGAGGGGCTCTGGTACACTATCCTGGGGGCTCTGGTGCACAGTCCTGGGGGCTCTGGTACACTGTCCTGGGGGCTCTGGTGCACCGTCCTGGGGGCTCTGGTACACTGTCCTGGGGGCTCTGGTGCACAGTCCTGGGGGCTTTGGTACACTGTCCTGGGGGCTCTGGTACACCGTCCTGGGGGCTCTGGTACACTGTCCTGGGGGCTCTGGTACACCGTCCTGGGGGCTCTGGTTCACCGTCCTGGGGGCTCTGGTACACCGTCCTGGGGGCTCTGGTACACCGTCCTGGGGGCTCTGGTACACCGTCCTGGGGGCTCTGGTGCACCGTCCTGGGGGCTCTGGTACACCGTCCTGGGGGCTCTGGTGAACCGTCCTGGGGGCTCTGGTACACCGTCCTGGGGGCTCTGGTGCACCGTCCTGGGGGCTCTGGTGAGGGGCTCTGGTGCACCGTCCTGGGGGCTCTGGTGCACCGTCCTGGGGGCTCTGGTGAGGGGCTCTGGCGCACCGTCCTGGGGGCTCTGGTGCACCGTCCTGGGGGCTCTGGTGCACCGTCCTTGGGGCTGGGGGCTCTGGTGCACCGTCCTGGGGGCTCTGGTGCACCGTCCTGGGGGCTCTGGTGCACACCGTCCTGGGGGCTCTGGTACACCGTCCTGGGGGCTCTGGTGCACCGTCCTGGGGGCTCTGGTACAGCGTCCTGGGGGCTCTGGTTAGAGGCTCTGGTACACCGTCCTGGGGGCTCTGGTGCACCGTCCTGGGGGCTCTGGTGCAGAGTCCTGGGGGCTCTGGTACACCGTCCTGGGGGCTCTGGTCTGGTGCACCGTCCTGGGGGCTCTGGTACACCGTCCTGGGGGCTCTGGTACACCGTCCTGGGGGCTCTGGTGCACCGTCCTGGGGGCTCTGGTGAGGGGCTCTGGTACACCGTCCTGGGGGCTCTGGTGCACCGTCCTGGGGGCTCTGGTGAGGGGCTCTGATACACCGTCCTGGGGGGTGCACCGTCCTGGGGGCTTCTGGGGGCTCTGGTACACCGTCCTGGGGGCTCTGGTGCACCGTCCTGGGGGCTCTGGTGCACCGTCCTGGGGGCTCTGGTGCACCGTCCTGGGGGCTCTGGTGCACCGTCCTGGGGGCTCTGGTGAGGGGTTCTGGCGCACCGTCCAGGGGGCTCTGATACACCGTCCAGGGGGCTCTGATACACCGTCCTGGGGCT